TCAGTAAAGAATTAGAGCTAAATGTTTGTATTCCATGCCATCCTTTCTGGCATTTTGAACAATGACTCGCACCTATTCTAGCCGGGAAAATAGAAAAATGGGATAATTTAACTGGGATAATTTAACTGACTTCCATGCCAAAAATTTCCTAAGTAAACTCAGAAAGCATAAATACTAAATGGGAAAGCATATATCGGCAAATAGCAGCAGCAGTAACCAAGATGCCAATGCCATTAGCATAAAAAAGAAGGACATAGAAACAGCTATAATAATGCTGTTTAAAGTGTTTCCTAAGGATTATCTCCCACAGAAAATACAAAGCAAACATGTTGAGGAGGAAAGATCAGAGATTAAACGATTGCTTCCTCTCCTCCGCCCTTCTCTTTGCTGCCACAATGGCCTCCAGCCTTTTCCGAGATATGTCTTTCATTACCTGTTGATACAGCAAGTCTAACATATCCAACTCCACTCTCAACTCCTCATCAACTTCATCAACCAATCTCAGTAGAGAATTATCGTCTGAAACACCAAGAATGGCCGGCACATTGCTGCTTACATCAACTCGCAGAGTCTTCTGTTCGAAAAGAGCACCATTTTCAACTACTGCAGATAGTGTGTCCTTTACCTTTCCCTCCATCTTGTACCCGTTAGAATCTATGCAGCCCAAAGGAGAGTACATGCATGCATTTGGGGGCTTATCTCCTGTACATGATAATCCCAAAGAGAATGAGCCGTCAAAATTTGAGACAGCAGCATTTGAAGATTCAAAATCACCATTAAGTTTGCAGTGCTGATCAGCACAATCATCTATCGGATGCTTGTCGTTTTCAATTAAGCCAGAACTAGTAGAGGGGTAGTTGGAGAGCTGGGCAGCTCCAGAAACAATATGCAGTGATCCATTTGAGCTTTCTGCATCCTTGACCAATTCCAGATTTCTTTGTTCATCATTCAGGATTCCATGTCCATTTTCGGAAGCAAGATGATTAATATCAACACATGGCTTCCATCCAGATACCAAGTTCACCAGTATAAGATCGATCAACTCTGCTATAAACTTGATGTCCTTGTTGACGAGTTCAAGTTGTTGAAAATCCATTTCACTTGCAACTGAAAGTGCTGTATCACTGTCGAGGAAAAAGTTAAAATCAATACGGCTTACTTTACCTGCACAAAGAAAAAAAGCATTGTTAGACATAGGTTTAGTTTCCATTACTAATAGTTTTCTTTATAAAATGCAGAGGGAAAAATATTGGTAAAGAAGTGTAGTTACCGTCCTCATTTTCTAACCGTAATACCAAAGATACAAACTTCTCATCCTTTCTCTGCCCTTTCAAATTAAATTTAATGCCATTCCTCCTCTGCAGGACCTGCAGAGTCACACTCTCACCACCAGATTTCTCAATTGCAGTTACAATTGGAGGCCCTGCGCTAACTACCTGAGTGCCTTGAGATGGTTTCATCTGCTGTGCACTACTTTTAGGTTCTACCTTGAGAGCTGGCTTTTCTCTTGAGGAACATGACTTTGGTATGTTGAATTCAGGTAACTGCAAAGGACCATTCGCTTGAACCCCATTTGATTGGAGAAAAGGATCTTTCAGAAGGTCCTTCGCTGACAAACGCTCAGCAGCTGGTACCAAGCATTTCTCTATAAAGGCCTTCACTTCTGGATCCTTAACCTTTGAAAGACCAGCAGGCTTGACACCCTGAAAATTAAAAAAAAAAAGATAAATTAACTTAAACTTTCATTGGTAATAAATAACTGCATATAACACTAAGGAAAAAAAATTAATGAGCTTTAAGCATAAGAATGTACACTTACAGTAGAGACTTTTTTAAATATCTGAGCAGAATTTGTACACTCACTGTAGGGGTATTCGAAGGTAACCATTTCCAGCATGCACATCCCAAACGAGTATATATCAACCAACTCATTATAATCTTCATCATAGAGCTCGGGTGCCATAAACTCAGGTGTCCCTGCAACATATGAGAAACCATTTCATAAATACAAGCAGTACAACAATTTATCTCAGAGCTAACTGCATTACAATTATATAGACAAACAGTATATACATTGTCAATGAAAACCATTCATGTAAACATGCAAGCAATAGTCAAAGTTCATGTCCTAAGAAGTAAAATCAGGTCAGTGAAAAAAATATCTAGATACCAATCACACTCCGGGCTTTAGTCTGTTGCATAACAGTTGCCAGCCCAAGATCTCCAATCTTCACCTCACCATGGTTTCCATTAATGAAAATATTATCACATTTCAAATCCCTATGTATGACAGGGGGCTTCTGACTGTGGAGATAGTTCAAGCCCGTCAATATTTGTCTCGCCCATCCCTTCACAGCTTTCATATCAACCTTCTTGTGTTTCTTACGATACCTATATATTGAAATGAGATCACTAATCCTAAACCAAGAAACTAAACCCAACATCAATAAGAGCTCAAAAGAAAAGGGTAAGTCAAGTGTATATACTGTCTCAAGCTGCCCGAAGTGAAAAGCTCGGTGATGATGTCAATAGTCCTGTTCCCCTCGTCAACCCACGAGGTGTAGAATTTAACAATGTTCTCGTGTTTCAGAGACTTCAAGAGATGAACCTCAGAGTACAACCTCTCCAAGTTTTCAGGGGTTTGCAACATATTATCAAGCTTAATCTGACTCCATGCCACCTCAATCCCATCAAGTTCATCAAAAGCCTTATATCTTTCGTTCAAGCCAAATTAAGGCACACACAATTTAAGTAGGGATAAATTGCAATAAAACCCCCCTCAGTGTTTAAAAGTGACACTTCAATCCCCTTCCTTTTAATTTCTAAGAAAACCAACTTGAATGTAAAAGATACAAATACAAATACAAATAAAGGGGGTAAAGTATCTCTTTTAAAAACTCATGGGGATTTTATGTAATTTACTCTTAAGCTAACATCATTACTATCTACAGGCCAAAAAAAAAAAAGAACCACAATTTAGACAATGCTAATGTAGAAAAAAGGATACACAGTCTTGAATGCTCCTTTACCTAGTATGTCCTTATACTGTAAACAAAAAAAAAACAAATTTTTAATAAAAATAAAACATAATAACAGCAAATCAAAATCTAAATTAAACGGAAAGATCGAGGGATCTTACGCAAACGTAACGGCGAGTGGGATCAACCTCGATGACGTCAGGATCCGGCGGCTCATCGGATCCGGAACAAATAGTAATTCCAGACTTCAGTTAACAACCAATCACAAAGGAGTTATCTGGTTGGATCCAGTATTAGTGATGCCTACAGACACCTATAAGGTAGATTGTATATACTTGATGCAAATAATTGGATTTCGTATAGTTTTTTTTTTCGAATCTGAGTGCCATTTAAATTTGTATTCAAGATCTTAGAAATTTCGTATAGTTTTTTTTTCATATCTATATCAATGTGAAAAAGAGAACAAGGATGTGACATGGTCTGTAACCGAACTCATGATCGCCGCCAGTCAGCAAACTAGGGTTAGGATTAGCTCCCGAACGAAGAACACGAAGAAAACCCCAGGAATCGAGATGAATCTGAGGCCAGGCGATGAGCAAAGCCCTAACGAACTCCAAAACTCGGTAGAAATCGGATCAGAACGAAGGCGATCGAGCGGGCCAAAACCCTAGGAATCGTGAGAGAGGGAGAGGGAGGGCGCTGCGAAATCTCTCGGTTTTGGGAAAATTGACGGGCGGAGATCGCGGGAGCTTAACCGATTTAAGAAAGGGGGAGCGGTTGGCGGGAGATCGAGACACGTGTAAGAATTGAACGGTGAGGATTTGATTTGGAAAGATTAATTTGATTAAGAAAATAGGACGGTTGAGTCGGCTTGGGAATTAGATTGGGATTCAGATAGGGATGGTATCAATTGGATTTTGTTTTTAATGGGTTAATTAAAGAATTTTTTTTTTATGGGCTTTTGGATTTGGATTATTTAATCACGTGTTTCATTTATGAGGGGTGATAGGGGCACACCCCCAACCACACCCTCCACCACACCTCCTCTCCCTCTATATTGCATTGGGCCCACATCAATTTTTTTAAAAAAATTTGATGTGGGGCCCAATGCACTATAGCGGGAGATGAGGTATGGTGGAGGGTGTGGTTGGGGTTGTGCCCCTAACATTTCTATTCATTTATATTGTTTCCTTAACGCTGCCAAAGCCTTCCCCATAGATAGAAGCCTATTTTCAACGCTTCCAAAAGGCAATCTAATTGTTAAAATAGTAATTTTATAAATGATTAAATTTCAAATAGATTCCACTAAATTTGGTTTGAGAGAATGTGACTCCTATACCATATTAGCCTAATTTATTAGTAGATAATCTTGAAGGGCCAAAGAGAAAAAAAAATTGTAGAAAATATATGAGAGATTGAATGGAATAGTATATTTCTGAATATCAAAATAAAAATTTATTTATTACTCAAATGAAAATGTCAAAAGAGTTTAATTCATATTATTTTATTACGAATCGGCAGAGGTAGGTGGAGTATACGACTGTGAGATATTAGTGGATATTCTTGAAATTCTTAAATTTTCACAAATACAAGAAATAAGAAAATCAAACCACAATGACTCATTCATTTAGAAATAGTAAATTGAGTCAGATCAGGAATGATGTTGGAGTTATACTTTGATAGGGATAGAACTGATTGGATTTGTTTTCATCGAATTTAATTAATAAACATATTTTATATTAATTTTGGAGTTCTTTAATGACATATGTCAGTGATATATTTATTATTTTTTTGGGTCAGTAACGATATATTTAAATTGTTTCCTTAACCATTGGCAAAGAGGGGAGTTGGGGGGATCATAAAAGCCTATTTCGATGTGTCAAAATTAAATATTTATATTTATAACATAAATAATTTTGCAATAGACTCTATTAAATTTCGTTCAAGAGAAAAATGACTATGGTGCACAGTTTTAGCCTGATTCACTAGTGGGTATTCTTTTCGGGCTAATTGAATATAACTCCATCATCTATAAATTTAAATAATAAATATCATCTCATAGCACCTAACACCCCTCAATTTCATTAAAAAGAAGGGCTACCTGCTCCAAAAAAATGTCAATTTAGGAATATTAAGCACCATCAAAATAATTGAGGGTCGATAGGAATGAACCCCACCCTTTCTACTGCAATGCACATAATAAAATTTGTTTTTTATTTTTTGGAAAGTTTAGTTTAAGTAAAAAGTTTTTGGAGAAATTGGTTGCACAAAGTTGTATAAATGGATTACTTTAGGGTCTTTCAATTTCTTCCATTTTATTTTTCTGAACAACAAGACTGATTAATGTGATTAGGACAGAGAGAGAAAGTACAAGTGTATTTACGGCATCACTTGAGGATAAATTCACTGTGAAAGAGAGACGTTAAAAAATGGACCCCACTTGAAAATACTAGAGACACATCACACATATAACATGTTGAATTCATGCCATTAAGGTATTTGTTGCGACAATACATGAGAGCTTAGAACTTTTGCAAATATTTGATGGGGATTGATTAGAAGAGTATATTTTTGAATATCAGAAGGTGTTGGGCGCAGAGTCACGCCCTCACGCCGCAGAAGCGATATCACACGAGGGAAAGCCCTGGCTTTTATTTTCACAAAAGCTCAAGCCAACCACTATATTCTCGTTTCACAAAGGAAGCAAGAATAGAAAGTAAAATATCTCAACAGAATGAAATATACATCCATCCTCTCATCAGTTCTAGGACTGACTTGTCGAGGGAACCTACAAACAATAGCCAAAAGCCAGAAAACAGTAAAGACACGAGATTTACGTGGTTCGGCAAACTTGCCCACTACGTCCACGGAAAAAAACTTCAAGCAAAATAAAAATACTTAAAGAGTTTGATTGATATTACAAAAATGATACAGGCACACCATGTGCCACACCCTTAGCCACACTCTCCTCTCTCTGCTACAGTAACTAGGGCCCACGTGAGATTTATAAATAAATCTCATAAATAAATCTCATGTAGGCCCTGGTTACTGTAGCAGAGAGAGGAGAGTGGTTGAGGGTGTGGCACATGGTGTGCCTGTAGTGTCACTCTTGATATTATATGGTTATGATTGACAGAGATGGGTGGACTATGCGATAGCGAGGCATTGGTAGATGCTGAGTATTTTTTTCTTCTACCATAAAGCAAATAATGTTTCATTTAATCTTGAAGTTCTCATTTTTATTCTTCAAAATTATAAGAAATAATAGAGCTTTGGGGATGAGTTGTTTAAGAAGGCACCTGCTATTATTTGTGAGTCATGATACAAAATTTAAAAAAAAAACACTCAATTTACTTTAAAAAAAACCCCAAAACTCAATACATAAAAGGCCTTTACCTCTCTCTACTTCAAAGGTTCACAGCAAAACTCTGGATGCACTTAACCGATGCCTCCGAATCTCAACGTACTCTCCCTGCAGTTTCACTGCCTGCTTCGACTCAGCGCAACCCGTTCTGGTCCCCTTCACCGGCTGACTTCACTGGAGGCGTCCCGCGCCACCACATCCACCTCCATGTTGCTTCGACTCGCAGAAGGCTACAACCGTTCCCTTTTCAGGAGAACAATTTTAAATTGCAAGTCCTGAACAGTGCCACTCGTGTAGGGATGGTTCATGATGAATCCGTATTCACGATTCATAATCTATCTCTATTCTGATATATCATCGTAGTAGTGTGCTTGTGAATGCGCGCGTGTGTATAAATAAGATTGCTGTCTCTGGGACTGACCATCATGTACTCGAGCCTTTTTATTTTGTACATTTACAGTTAATTTGTATCCTATAAAAAGGATTGGTAAGTTGTAAGAAAAACTATATTACAAGTATATTGCTCTTGTAATATATTAATGGTGATTATATATTGGCTTGTAGATATGTGATGTTGGTGAAAACACGGAACTGATCTTTGTCTACAATAATTTTGATGTAAAGGATGCATATAATGTAGGGAGGGATATCTTCTACTGAGGAATTTTAGAAATTGTTGGTTACTTCAATGAGCTTATTGACTATGATAGGCTCAGAAATTGTGGATTTCTGTCAGAGAGGTGTATTTTGGGCATTTTGAGTCTTGTGCTTCCCACGTGAGTGGGTTAAAACTAGCAGTTTTTTTTTTTCGCAGGGTTTGTTGGAACCAAAAAAGTTCAGAGAGGTTTCGCTGGGAAACCCCGTAAAGTTTTGGAGGGTAGGTTCTGTGAAGTTAACCCATAATTATCTTCGTCCAGATTGTCCTTCTTGGTCGATAACAGCCTCCAAAACTTTCACTGTCAAATCTCTCCATCACACCTTAGCTGATGTTGAGATACGATTCAAGCATCTCTCAATCATCTGGAATAATATGCTGCCTAGTAAAATCCAAATTTTCTTCTGCCTCCTCAGTTCTCTTAGACTGAAGAGCAAAGCCAGACTCGCCTCTCAAAGATGGTTAGCTGATTCGTGCTGTATGTTTTGCTCCGAGCAAGAAACTCATGACCATCTCTTCACATCATGTTACGTGACTCATCTCATCTGGGCTCCTTTTCTTCTCAAATTAGGAATCGGCTCCCTCCCTGCTAACATCGACCAGTGTTTAGCAATCTGCTCCAACCCATCCATCCATGCCTCCGTCCGTCTTCTATGGGGTGTCTGTTTCCCAACCATTAACTGGGTCCTGTGGAAAGCATGTGACGACCTCCTCTTCTCTAACATCATGTCTTCCCCTCATCTAATCATCAAGAAGCATGTTAACTTCATTCTCTCCTAGTCAGGGGCCTCCAACTCCAAGAAGGCGCTCCGGACGAAGAAGCTCATTCTCGAAGCTGAGTCGAGCGAGGACAGCAACATGATGCCTTGATCCCCCGTTGTCATCCTGCTGGTGCTTAAGCAATCTATACGGGTCGTAGTGGTTTCCATTTCTTTGGTTTGAAGTTAGTTTTTTGGTGTTTTTTTGATGTTTTCCTCCAAGACATCTCCTTCTGATTGGGCCTTTTTTCTCCAACTCGGAGACGTGACCTTAATCAGCAGTAGATATCTTCTTTTGTATGCACATCTTATTTTGGTTATCAGTAATCTATTGATAGGGAAATCCCTTATTTTCACTCAAAAAAAAAAAAAAAACCCATAATTATCTTAAGGTGACGTATTACAAGAATATATTTACAAAAATATATAGAATTCAATTTGAAAATGTATAGCTTGGGATATAAATGTTTTAATAAGATAATGTCAAAATAATTAGCAGCAAGCTGGAAACATATACTGATGCTAAAACTTACCCGAACCATAACTTTTGACTTGGTTATCGAAATCACTATTATAATATGTTGTCGGAAAGCTCTCTCTCGACGTGATCTACAAAACTAACATCTCCAGGGGTGCATCTGCCCACCCGGGCACCCCTTGGATCCGCCCCCCACTTCCATCAAAGATATTATGGACTTTGGAATTACACCCTAATGTAAAATCGATCACACAGATTCACGCACAAGCGCCAAATGGTCTCTCCTGCATAGTACATCACATTACAAAATTTTAATCATGTTAAAGAAGAGAATAAAACTAAACCAACCATATATATACTCTGAAGTGACCTTAAACCATCAAATGAACCTGGAACAATCAGGTCCTTGCCATAGTTCAAATTTCATTAAGTAAGAGCGAGCCATACAAAGAGTCTAGTCTGTCCCTATGGAAAGAACCATATGAAATCTTATGCAAGCTGCAAAGAGTACTCTAAAGCCAAAATCAGAACAAATGAATATTATAATGTCACAAATACATGCCCCGTCTGTCTCTCATTTATTATTATTATTTTCCTTTTAATAATATGATCAAGGATTTCTAATTTTCTTATAAACATAAATGTGATTTAAGACTTGTGAAGAATTCCCTATGTGCATGGATAATAACTCATTGCACAATCTTTATGCTTCGTACTAACAAAGTCGCAGTAGATGTAAAATAAGGATGTCAGGTTTATTCTTGTACCTTACAAGTAAAAAAGTTATTTATAAATCAAATTAAGTGTGTCGCCAAACATGCTCTTAGATCAACATACTTAATACTTACCCAACCAGTTTATTAGTCAAACAAAGCTACACAATGAGCCAATTACGGTTCATACTCTTTATACTCAACCTGCACCTACTGAAGATCAAATAGGAATCCTGTTAGAAACCACCCTATCGAAGTGGGGGTAGTTTTCACTATAGATAGAATTAGCTTCAAACAGACCACTCCATTCTAGGAGATGTTCTGATAGAACATCTACTCCTAAACATCGGACTCAAGTAATATCATCATATCAAATAGAGGTTGAACAGCAACTGAGAAGGTCAACTTCATCATCTTATTCACTGCTGTTAAGCTATCTGAACTTGAGCTCAGGGTAAAATCGAGGGTGTGAAACCGTAACCCACAACAGGGCAACAACAAAGAACACAAAAATCAAGACACGTATCCAGGATATTAATCTCGACAAACATAAGAGTCAAGAGCCTAAAAAAAGAACCTCATACTTTTCAAGAGGAAGAATTTGCTCTTTTTACCAATCACTCAATTTACCAATTCTGCAAGCCTAGACTAAAGATACAGTCCGCTTGATTTTTGCATCAAGATAACTATTTATTTTCTGTAAAGACAAGCTCAACTGTAAAATGAAGTGCTTTCAGCAGCCGTAAAAATTACATGTTTTGAGTGTTCTTATTTAGTCAGTGTTACGGCAGATTCTCAAACTTCTATGGATTCCATCAATTGATCAAACTAAAGACCATGGAAGAGAACAGGAGATCAAATAGAATCTTGCACTTCGCCGAAGCTAGGACTCACCTACAGAAGCTCAAGAATTTTCCAGCAGTTGTTGACGAGGAGGAGAATGGCATGCATCTTCAGAGTCGAACAACTACTTGTCTGCTTCATCCAAAAAATTTCCTTTCTGACTTGTTTCCCCAGGAGCCTGATATAGAAACCAAGACAGGTAGTTGATGATATATTGCTTCCAATAGCACTATTTGTGATGACGATAGAAAATATGTTTAACTGCGCAGAGAACCCCTGCACTGTCTATGTTCTGAACTTACTATGCATGTAGTTTCGCTGTTGCAAAGAGACCCCTTTGAGTTAATTTTTTTTAATACTTTTTTACCGTTAGATACTCATTAATTTCACCCATGGGTAACATGTTTCAAAATTTCACCCATGGGTAACATGTTTCAAAATTTCACCAAGTTAAGAAGAGTAAAAAGATTTGACCCAGGGGGTCCATCTGCAACCCTGAAACTACAGGGTCAGTAAGTTCCAAACATCTGTTGCTACAAGGGGTCAAGGTGAGCATAAGAGAGGCAGAGAGATATACCTGAACAAGTTTTAAAAGCTGTTCTAGTTCGACTTGAATCTCTTGAAATGAGGGGCGTGCAGCGGGGTCTGCATCCCAACATCTCTGCATCAGGTCCAACAGTCCAGGGTGTGCATTCGGAGGAAGCTCCGGGCGTTTCCCCTGATGTTACGTAGAAACCGGTCACATGAGGATTGTCATTTTGAAGAAACACTGCTGCATATAGATGTAACATGGATATTAGCCCGTACAAACCTGTCTCACTCCTAGGGCAGCTTGTAAAGGGGTCATACTTTCATAAGGTAGCTGCACAGAGATACAATGACGGATTGATGAAAAAAAAGCTTACATTTGATTAGCTGAGAAGTGAAGTTTTCAAGTTACCTTTAATGTTGCAAGCTCCCAAAGCACAATCGCAAAACTGAATACATCAGCCTTTTGATCGTAAGGTTGATGATTGATAACCTTAAAAAATAGAAGAAAATAAATAGAATTAGAAATTGGTAAACCGGCGGTAAGTTCAACTTAATTTGCGACTACTATCATCTACCAGCTACACATATACCATGGCAACCTACAAAGACTTGCAAAGGAATGCTTGTAGATAACATCAAAGGAATATTGTTATCATAGTTACTTATAACTTTAAAAGGTAGCACAATTAAAGGAAATATAACAGAATTCATAATGGATTTTCACAGCCATGGCTAACAAACACCAAC